CCCCCCCCCCCTCCCCTCTTCCCTCTCCCCCCATCTAGTCTCTCTCTCTCTCTCTCTCTCTCTCTCTCTCTCTCTCTCTCTCTCTCCTTTATTCTTTATTTAGAGACAGAGTCTCATGGTCTTCAACTCACTATGTAGTGAGTATGCTGATCTTCCTGCTTCCACCTCCCCAGTGCTACGATTACTTCATCGTCCCACCTGCTTTATGCTACGCCAGGGATCAGCCTCTTGTGTGTGTTAGGCAAGCAATCTTCCAACTGAACTACGTCCATACTTGGTTTCTATTTTTTCAATCAATGCCCTGTTGTCTCTGTTCTTCATTTTGTTCAAGGTTCTATGGTTTTCAGTGTAAAATCTTAAACATCTTTTGTGAAAATTTTCTCAAATATGTTGTCATTTTGGATATATTGTGAATAATCTTTTACACTCAATTTCAGTTTTAGATTGCTCACTAAAAGTTCAGAGAAATATAAATACAGTCAAGTGTAACAGTGATGAACTCTGATTAGTTCTATTAATTTCTGTGGTTTAATCAAGTAGAGAATTGATCACTAAATATGGTGTACTCATAAAATTAGATATTATTCATCAACAGAACATGCTGTGACACAGATGAACTTTCTCATTATGTTAAGTGTATTAAGAGGAAAAAATAAGATACCAGAGAATCTCATGGTGTATGATCCAACGAATGTGAAATGCTAGAAAAAGAAAAGGCATGGGGCAAAAAGCCAACCGATGACTCATGTGTTATTTAATTTTTCTCATTGTATTAGACTTCCAAGATGTAAGATTATCCTCAAGCCATTTCTGTGCCACAGCTAGCACCAGTAAATCCGCCATAATTTCCTCTGAATCACCTAGGTACAAGCTATAAATGTCATCCAAAATATATCAACGCATCCTTTGAACAAATTTTTCACTAAACAGGAATCTGCTATGTTTTGGACACTGAATGTCCCCCAAAGACCCATGCGCTAAAGGTTACTTTTCTCTTTCTTTCTTTCTTTTTTTTTTTAGTGCTATCAGGAAATGTTGGATCATTTAGGAGGTGCTACCTTGGAGAAAGTTCTGAGGTCACTGGTAGTGTATGTATGAAGGAGATTGTGTGACTCTGATCGTCTCTGTTTCCCGTATCAAGAGGTGAGTGATTTGTTCCATTACATCTTCCTACCATGATGTGCTGCCTGCATCTCAGGTCCAAATCCCTGGATTCATTGCCCTTGACCTGGAATGTTCAGAACAATGAGTCAAAATAATTTTTTAATTAACGTAATTGCCTCAGTGTTTCAGTATAATAACAGAATAGTGACTAACACAGTATCCTTTCACATAGTTTATTTTGTTTTTGCACAAATTTTGAAACAATCAGGAAAAAACACTGAAGGAAACACATGATTTAGGAAAAAAGGTGATTGAAAAGTGTATATAGGAGCTGAGATAGTTGAGACAGCTCAAGTGGATAAAGTGCTTGCTTCAAAAGCTGGCTGACTTGAGTTCAAATCCCCATTACCCACACAAAGTTGGACATGGTAGCTAGCACACATCTGTGACCCCAGCATGCCTGTGGTGAGATGGGAGGCAAATTTAAAAGAATCCCTGAAAGCTTGTGAACTTGAACTAGTTGGCCTGTTTGTATAGCCAGTAACAAGAGACCAGGACTCAAACAGGTAGAAGGTGACTTCCACAGCTGTACCACGGCATGCACACATATGTATTCACACACACATGAACATGACACACATGAACATACACATATACACTTTTTAAAAGCATGTTGGATAAAATTCTAAATAATTCCTAGGGTCTTGCAAAAAACTTTCTGAAAGTTTATTTCAGATTAGTGAGTTCTCATTTCACTTTATGTAGAGGAGTAATGCTATAAAATCCTTATAGTTCAAACCAACAGATTTTATCATAGTACATAAATACATAGCTTACTCAGTGTTCCATCTGACTTTCATCAAACAATAGCAAAAACTAACTCAAGAAATGAAGCTTATTTATCAAATGCATTTACAATCTGACTGAAGGACAAATTAAACCTTTTAGCCAAGTTTTAAATAGATGTCCTTATGAATGCATAGTAGAATAGTCTCAAAAGTCTCTATTTAGGCTTTGGATAACTAAATTACCGTAATGGGTAGCCTGTGCTGTTAAGCTAAAGACTCAATACCCAATAGGGAAGTTTCGTCAGAGGGCAAGACCAGCATATTTTTCAACAACCAGAAGGGATGCTGGAGCCTGAGGAAAAGTTGCAGTATGAGACCCTTCTCAGGAGCTACACAGGTTTAGATGCAAAGTATGAGGTGCATGGTAGTTATAGGTTCCAGATTAAGCAACTCACATAGAACGAGGAGACTCACAAGAAGGAAATTCGACACTTGGGAATTAAAGGTAAAACAAGTAAACATCTAGGAATGAATAACTAGATTCAGAGAAAACAAAGGAAACCAATTTTTAATTTCATCCTATTTCAAGATTTAAATTCAAAGTCGGACTGAAAGTGTCAATGACAGGGGAGACAGGAGCCAGAAAAATCTTTGCACCTCATCCAGTATTCATGACAGTCAGGGCTTCGTGTCATTAGGTGATTTTATCTCATCTAAGGACAAGACATGCCAAGTTCCTTATAAAGCAGTATATACAGTAACTTCCAAATAATTAAAATAAGAATATACATGAGGAATATATTAGTTAATAAAAAATTTTCTCTTTCACTCATTATAATAATTGGTTTTCTCTTGTTTCCATTGCTAATAGCTTGTTAGCTAACTTCAATAATAAAAATGTTAGTTAACATCAATAATAAAATGTCCATATTCGAATGGAGAAGGAATGTCTACAATTTAAAATGGCACCAGTCACAAGAAAGAATATAATTAAAAAAGAATCCATTCTTTTTCTGTCAGAAAATCCCATGCTTGAATGTTTATTAAATGTCTGAAAATGAATTTAACAACAATTGTATATCAATTTCCTCCAAGATAAAACCTTGCAATGTTGGAGGGAAGACGCTTGAGAGCAGGATGTTCTAAGGGGAGAATAAACGATCTATTCTGCAGGGAAGCTTGTTTAAGCTCAGGAAGTAAAGAACTCCAAAGCTTCGAAGTCCCTGAAACGGATGCGATTTCCTAGGCCCTTCCTCCCTACCATATAAGGACTACTGAGAGAGACTAAAGAGCCAACTGTCAAAGAGGCTCAAACCAGCCAAGCTTCCTGGAAAACACATTCTCCAACATGCTGAACTGCCTGAAAATTGTGCCGTTAGTGTGCTCCAGGTTTCCAACTTTAACGAGGTATCACCCATGCTGGGGTGGGCTTTGAGTCGTTTCTGGTCCTGTAAGGAACACTTCACCTATGCACCTATAAGTAACTCAAAATAAATAAATAAATAAATAAAAAGCCTAACTGATAGATCAAGTTGGACTTTGGTGCAGTGGTTGCTTTGGCTCGTTGGAGGTTCCCTATCTGGGGTGAGTAGATGTTTGTTCACGTCTCTCCAGGAATAGTGTCATACAATAACGCTCAAGAGCCTCTGGGAATAAGACTCCCATGCATTGTGCTTTATTAACTGACCACATCAAAGTTAAATTAAAAATTTTAGATGTACATTACAGTTGCATGCTATACCTTTAAGTTTAAATTTTAAAATTTATAAGATGGACATAGAATGAATTGGTTAAGTAGACACCCAGCCAAAAGGAAAGTCTTCTTACATTTCTATCCTCAGAAGACACTGTGTTAACATAAAGTGTTAACCTTCCCTAACCATAAGAACGATGATTGCAATAAGAAAAAGATACATAATCCCATCCTAGATACTATTTTGCAATAAAAATGGCTACTTTTAAATAATGCTATCACCTCTTCGAAAGATGCCTATATCTTTTCAAAATGTATGATTGTTCATTATAAAACAAAATTATCTGTCTCATACGTTATTTGGAATAAGACAAAGCATTTCTAATCCTCTGTTTCTTCACCTGCAAAATAATGGGAATAATACTATTAATTCCATTGTGGGATGTAAGTACCTTAGCATATTATCTGGCATACAGTAGGTGCATATTTCTGTAGAGCCTTCTTAGTATCTGGGAAGCTTTCAGCCACATGTTGGAGACAGGATCCTTATTCAGCAGATAGCAATGCTGGCCACTGCAAGTGGGCAGACATGCTCTTCCCCCAGAAAGCCCTCCTGCTTACCAAATGCTGATTCGCTAAGGAAGCACCGGTGTTAGCCAATGAGAAGGGCTCTCCCTCACAAATGTTACTACTGTCTCTAATGTGCCTACCTGGCATTAGAAGAGAAATCCAGAGAGTTCATTCAAATCCAAAGTTATTGGGCTGAATTCAGGGGGAAAAAATCCATTCATTCCTAAACTGTCTAAACAATCCCAGAACACAGCAAAGTAAGTTTTGTTCATTTTAATTGCAAGTCTCTCCCCGCCCCCTTCATTCCTGTATCATCTAGCAGCAGGGGCCAGAAGAAGACTTCCCTCTATTAGTCATTAAAACTGAAACCTGCAAAGGAGTCATAGAACTCAGACTCCAGCTTTCAACATTCATCAATCTTTACATTTAATAAACTTTCTAGGCTGGTTCTCCATTCCCAGAATAACAGGGTGTGATTGTAATGCACTAAATGAGCCATGAACAACAACACCATGTCTGACAAACGGCAAAGGCCAACACAGAAAAGACCTAGAGACAGGCAGGGGAGTTGCTGGGACACAGAGTCCTACCCCACTAAATGCAGCACCCTCCCTCCATCTACACACAGTGTGAAAGGTCCATAAATCATCCATGTCCACGCGGCCTGCACACTTACAGTACAAGGTCTTCAAGGATCCAAATCCCTTGTTATTCTTTGCTTTCTATTCACCCTGCACACAAGAGGCACATGAGGAAGGTTGACTTGTCCTTCTGTATTCACAAAAGAGAATGAAAGCATTTATTCCCATCAGCTTTTCTGTGGCAATGCACCTAAACTGGAGTGGAAAAGTATTTGCTTCTGCCTTCTTGTTTTTTACATGCAGCATTCAGAATAATAAGACATGTCACTAGACATAAAACAAGCAATTTATTAACCTGCAGAACTCTCACTTGCATCAGATTTTAATTGTTAGCATACTTTACCTTTTGCCATTTCGGTGTCATTTCCACTCTAAATGTGACAGTCACAGAGAATCGTCTGCTGGCCCCTGCCTACTGCTGATGGAAATGGTGGCTTTGATACAAGAGAAACAGAAGAAAATACTGAAAGAATATTATTTTAGTGTCAGTTTTTAAAAGCCATCCATAAACAGGAAATTTCCATTTATACAGATAAAGTGGTAGATATTGTGGAAACCTAAAAAAAAAAAACAAAACAAAACTCAGGTAAGAAAAGTCAGAAGAAAAACCAACAGTATAGACAACTGTGATGAAGTAACACTGGAAAATCTTGGAAAAACAAATAGAATAGGTCATAATTGATCAGATGGTACAACTTTTTGGTAAAAATTAATTATTGAACATTTACTGAAAACATTGCTCATTACCATGAGGTAAACAGATCTGCTGTGCCACAGGTTCTTTACCATGATGTTCTGCCTCTCAAAAGGCCCTAAGGCAGCAGAGTCAACCCACTATGTCCCTGAGACCATGAGTCAAAATAAACCTTTCCTCTTTTTAAGTTATTGTGTCAGGTATTTTGTCACAGACATTGAAATTGCCTAACATATGAAAGATGGTATGATTTCACCATTTTAAATATGTGGAAACTTATTAACTTAATTAATACTATTCATATAGTAGTGGTATAGGCAAGATTGAAGTCTGAGTAGTCAAACTCAAGAGCCACAAATACGACAACAGTAAGGCTTATTATGTACCAGACATTGTGTTAGGGATGTCACATGATTTAGCCCTATAACACACATGATTCCTTGAGATAGGTCTGTTATTATTTATATTTGCAGATAGTAAAATCATGTCGTCATCCTGACTTGTGAAGAAAAACTTTGAACAAGTTACTTTTATCCTACTAGAACCAAAATACCTGCCACAAACAACTTAAGCAAAAAGGGCTTATTTTGTTCATGGTTTCAGAGGTGTTAGTCCATCATGGAGTGCAAGGTAGAGGAGAGCCATTCACATCACGGCAGGCCAGGAAGCAGAGGAAAGCAAATGCCAGTGCTCCATGAACTTTCTCTTTTTCTCCCTCTTGTTCTATACATCCCACAGCCATGGGATGATGCTTCCCACATTCAGGGTGAGTCTTTCCTTCTCAGTTAATCCTCTGAAAGGCCCTTACAGACACAGCCAGAAGTGTACCTCAATCTCTTAGGTTTTTCTAAATCCAATCACACTAACAGAAAGAGTTATCTAGTACAATCTTAGTTCAAACTCTGTCAGACTTTATAGTGTTGAGTTTAATTCTTCTATTCGAATATGAAAATTAAAGTTTATGGACAAAGATATACTGTCATATATCGTATGTTACTTATAATTACTTATAAAATAATATAGAACATTGTGTAATCCTAGATTTAGTGTTAAGTAAACTTAAGTCAGGATATGGATTTCAACATACCAAATTTACTTACAGATACCACACCAGCGGGTGAATAACCTGCATGTTTGTGATCTATGATCACTATTAATATTTATGACTCAAATTATATCAACTGATTTTAATATTGGTTGACACAGAATATCACTAAGTTGATATAGTATACATTTGGTGGAGCTGCCAGAAAAACAACAGAAAGGAAAAGAAGTCAAGGGAAAAAAATGGGAAGGATTGTGTTTTTTAAAATATCTGAACCCCTGTGAGTAGCAGAAAGCTGAGCAGTGATGCAATGCACTACATTTCAGAAGGCTACAGCACCCTCTGGTGAATAAAAGGTGTATTTCACAATTTTCTCCAAACAACATAGGTGATACATTACATCCACAAAGCTACAATTAGGAGTAAATAGCTGAGTGTGCTTTTGCACAGTAGAATGATTATGGATGACGATACTATATTGTACATTTCAAAAACCCAGAAGAAAGAATCTTGAACGAGACAGACATGCTTAACTGGACTCAGTCATTTTGGACTCCATCAACGTGTTGAAAAACCACATGCATCCTCATTTATATGTATTTCTTTACATTTTTATGAATCATTTTCAAATAGGTTTGATATACATTTAAAATAAAGTTGAATTTTGAAAGTACCTCTGATCTTTTTCTTAAGCTAGCATCTGCTGAGAATGAATGCACTTCATCTTGTAAGTTATTCCTATACCTATTTCAGGTGATATGCAAATTCTACTTCTAGAAATAAACAAAATTAAGTATTTTGGATTAATCAAGTTACTTGATGCTAGGCCAGGAGCAAAAAATATCTCCAAGTTGTAGTTACAAAGTTATAAACACCAACAGAATATTTTTCTTTATGTGTACATTTTTAATTCTCAGTGATCTGAAGCACACAAATATATCCATATAACTTTCTTTGTTGCCTGTTTTAAATCTAGGCTACTGTGTCCCTTCTCTGTGATATTTTTCACTGTTCATGTTAAGAAACATAAATGATGGACTGTGGGCGACAGGCTTGAGCTTAGGGTGATATTGCAACTGTCAGGGTCACATGGTTTCCAGGAATCCAGGCTCTGTAATCTGAAACCCAGTATGCTAATGAAGCATCCTACCCGCTATTCTGTGATAGGACAGTAAGTCTGTTATG